GTCCATCAGTGGCTGCAAGTTTCCAGCCCACCTCTCTGGGAATCCCATTTTCATACTGGTCTAAGACCTGTCACAGCACTCCCTCAGGGTGGGGGGGGGCGACAGGGTGGGGGAGGCGGGGAGGGACCTTCAATCCTGACATTTCAACGCCCTCCTAGAAACATGTCTAGCTGTAGAGGGGGCCTCGGCCTCCCTCCTGCTAACTTCCAGAGGGGATTTCCCAGGGCTTTCCTGCTGCTTCTTAACTGGGGTAAAGCGGTGGACTTTGGATCTCCTGTAATTTTTATCATGCCCCCACTTGAGCATCTGGCTGGGGAGGGAGAGGTCCTGAGTTTGTATCTGATTGTCAAGATCTCTTCCCGCACCACTTTGCTTTCCAAGTGGCTCTGATGTCCCATTCCTCCCAGCTCCCCAGCCCACTGGCCTCAAAGGTGATCCTCGAACTGCGCTGCACAGCCAGGTCGGCGATGTTGACTCGGTTGAAGATGATATTCTCCATGCAGCCACGGAAATTATGCCGGTAGGCAAGGTTTTTCCGTGCAGCGCCCACCAGGCCTCCGATGAACATCTGTGGGCGGGCGGAGTGGGGACCGAGGGTGAGGTTCCCTGGGACGGTGAGTCCCTGGGTGCGGGAGCAGCAGGCACCTTCCTGGAACTTTTTTTTATAAAAGTTTTGAAACACACATTTCCCCAATGTTGGTATTCAAGCTGGAAGCTCACTGAGCCTCCAGAGGTTTGGGTTCTAGTCCTACCTCCACCACATATTGGCTGCATGCCCTTGGGTAAGTCAGTAACACTTTCTGGGATTCTTTTTATTTTTTTTTATTTTTTTTATTTTATTGATTTTTTTACAGAGAGGAAGGGAAAGGGACAGAGAGTTAGAAACATCAATCAACTGCCTCTTGCACACCCCCAACTGGGGATGTGCCCACAACCAAGGTAACATGCCCCTGACCGGAATCGAACCTGGGACCTTTCAGTCTGCAGGCCGAAGCTCCATCCACTGAGCCAAACCGGTTTCGGCACTTTCTGGGATTCTTTACATGTAGATGGAGGCCAGCGTCTTTACCAATCCCACTGAGGTGGGCAGTCCCAGGGGGCAATGTTCTCATTCTCAAAATCCAGATTTCCAAACCCCATCTCAGTGGTTCTCAGGTGGCACCAGGAAGCAAGGCCTTACTTTGGTGGAGAGAAGTGCTGTCCCCCACCCAGCCAGCGCCCCCCTCAACCAAACGACTCCTTCTGCTCTGCTCACCTCATTGTCCAGGTTCAGTCTCTCGAAGTCACCATTGAGAATGAAGCGCTGCACATAGCCGTCCAGGGTGAAGTTGGTGTGGCGGCCGTACCGGTCCACGCGCACATAATGCCAGTGCTGGTCATTGAGGACCCCGCCAGCGCTCACCGTTGTGTGCCCAGGCCGCGGTTGGATGGGGCTGCTGCCTGAGGATAGGGTGGGGCTAGGTCAGACCTGGGACCGAGCACCCCAGGGAGCCCAGCCCCTCGGTGAAGCAGCAGCCTGGGAGGGTGGGCATACAGAGACGGGACCACCGAGAGCCTGGGCTGGAGCAGCGGTCATTGGCAAGGATGTGACTTAGGGTAAGTCATTTAACCTCTTTGAACTTCTATCAGTAAAACTTGGGGCACAATAGCTGCTTCTACTTCATGATGTGGATGTGATGAAAAACTAATTAAGACACAAAAATAATACCTTTTTAGTGTGTGTGTGTGTGTGTGTGTGTGTGTGTATGTGTGTGATGCTTTTATAATGAGGAGACTGGGATTGGGGAAGCGCCTTGTCCAAGGTCACACCGCTGGTAGACAGCACATCTGAGACTGGATTCCATTTCTGCTAACCGGAGTCCCGAGTTTTGCCAGCACTAAATTCTACACTAAAGAGGCAGGTAGGAGCAGTCCAAACGGAAGAGGGGATCTCAGGAGAGCGCGTGGCTTAGCAACAGCGCCCCCAGCCGCCGAGCCGCCCGTCACTCACCCAGGCTCATGTGCAGCAGCAAGTGCGCCCCCTTTAGCTCCAGGGTCACGTAGTCGCCCTGGGCGCCCTCCGCGTGCAGCAGGAGCCCGTCCTTCTCCTCGGTCTTGAAGCTGAAAGCGAACACGTCCCACAGGCTGCGGCTGGCCCCTCGCGGGAAGCGGTACGAGATGGCGTCGTCGCCGTCGAAATAGAGCACGTCGGACTCTGCGCGAACGACCGGATGTGGGCCGGGGCCGGGCGGGAGCCGGGGAGGCGGGTGGTCCCCGCGCCCTCCCACCGCCGCCGCACAAGATCTTACTGTACGGACAGCCGTAGAGGCCCAGCCGCAGGCCGATCTTGCCCCGCGGGTTCCAGGCCAAGGGCACGATGCGGATGTACCGCGCGGTGAAGTGGTAGTGCAGGTCGTGGCGCACCACGGCCGACTCGTTCACGTTCCCGAAGAAGGTCTGAGGGGGAGAGGAGAGGAGAAGGGAGGGGAGGGGAGGGGAGGGGAGAGGCCTGGTCCTCACCCTCGGCTTGTTCTCCGCAGCCTCCCAGCCCGCAGCTGTCACAGGCAGACCATCCCGTCTTTCCCAAGGCAAACACTCCCTGACCTCCCGCCTCCATGGCTTTGTGCACACACAGCTCATTTTCCTCGTGTGGAGGGTCTTCTCCCACATTCTTATTCCTTCCTCACAGCTCAACTCGGGTGTCACCTCCTCCAAGAAGCTCTCCTAAGGTGGCTAAACCCTGTCATCCGGGGGTGTCTTGCCCACCTGTGAGTTTACAGTCCTGAACCGAGTCTCCGAGTGCAAGTCACTGCCCTTACCTACCCTATGCCCTCACTCCCCCCCCCCTTCCCGCACAAGCCCAGGCTGCAAAACAAGGCGGTTCCCCAGGGAGCCCGCAGGCCTGCCTACCGCATTGTGCCCCTGCTGGTAGAAGGGCGTCCAGCTGTCCACGCGGTCGCCGTAGAGCAGCATGTAGCGTGTGACCCAGTCCCAGGAGTTGAAGGAGCCTTGTGTGGCCACCGCCCGGATGCGGTGCTTCTTCATTAAGTCGATCTGGAGCCAGGGATTCGGGTCCCCAATCCGGGGAGACCAGCCACTGATGCCTAGAGAGGGGACAAGGGCGTTCACCACTGGCTCCCCCTTTTCTCCCGGCCCCCCACCCCCGAGCCCCTCCTGGCTCCCCGGGGCCAGGCTCACCGTGCAGCCGGGCGAAGCGTGGAGCCGTGAAGAACCCATAGTAGGAGGAGGCACCCAGGGAGCGATAGTACAGGGGCCCCACCAGCTCCTCATCACAGCCGTCTGGGTTGGGGGAACAGGCATATTGGACAGGTCAGCCCCTCCCAGGTCTTCCCCAAGGCCCCTCCCCACCACCACCCCTCCCCCTGCACAGGGAGCGACTGGCGCGCCTCCCGCTCAGTCCCCAGCAGCAGACCCAGCCCTAACTTAAGCATCTCCTCCACCCGCTGCAGCGACGGGGGCACACTCAGGGGGGCTGTCTTCTTCGGGGGGGACCCTTAGGCCAGACCCTCCCTAGCCCTGTTCCTGCCATGTATTAACCGGGCTCAGTACTCCCCAAAACACAACCTCAAATGTAGCATCTTTCAGAACCTGAGTCAGCCCAAGACACCGATCCAGCCCAGCCTGAGCATCCGTGCCATCCTCAGCATCCCCCAACCTGCACCAATTCCAGATCCGGGCCTTGGTCCCAACCCAGCCAGGCCTGACATCATCACCAGGTCTGTGTCCAACCTTAGTATCCATCCGGCAGCAACTCCACCGTGGATCCCAGTCCCAAAGTCCAGCTCCCACTCCCAAACCCAGCCCCTAGCAAAACCTTAATCCTAGTCCGGGTCACCAGTAACACTTTTACCCCCAATCCTCAAACCGAGGCACTGGCCCTGGCTTGGGTCGCAGTGCCAAATCCCAGCCGGGCCGACTCTGTCCTCGGTCCCGAGCCCAACCCCAGCCCCGGGCGCGCGCGCCGGCCGCCGAGCTGCATTGCGGAGCGCGGGGGAGAGGCCGGGAAGGGCGAAAGCGAACCGGCGAGCGCGCGCCGGCGGGGAAGGGACCGGCGACCACCCAGCCGCAATGCGGCGCTTGGAACTCCTGGGCCCGTCCCTGCCCGCCTCCGAGACCCGCACTCACAGTAGCCCCAGCCCCGGGCTCCTGAGACCGCGGCGAGCAGGACGCAGAGGAGCCAGAAACCCATCCTGCAGGGCTCCGGGGGCTCCGCGGCCGCCTCCCAGCGCCCAGGTCGGGCTAGGGCTCCCGTTCCAGCTCCGGCTCCGGCTCTCAGCTCCCCTGGGGTTCTCAGCGGTCACTGTCTCTCCTCCGCACCCACCCCTCTTTCCCTACCCCTCCCCAACCCTTCTCCCCTCGCCCCCCCTCTCTCAGCCGCTCCAGGCTCTCCGCTGCTCTCTCCTCTCCACCCTCTCTCCGCTCACCTCCCCCCTCCCCAGCCTCTCTCCCAACGAGCGCTGCTTTTCCCGACTCCGCGCAAGCGCGCGCCTCAGCCTGGCTTGAAGGGCGGGGTGGGGTGGGGGGTAGAGAGCCTCCAGGCTTCGGGGAAATACCCTCCAGAACCTGAGGCTGGCAGTGGCTGTTGGTCGCAGAGGAGAGGGAAGGAAGGTCCTGAAAAATCCAGGTGGGGTGGGGGGCTGGATATGGGGAGGAGAGTATGTAAAAGATTCTAACATTTTCCGAAGGCAAATTATGTTCCTAGCACCCTTACTAGGCATACTCATTGCCCTGTGAATTCAGCGTTTTTACTTGACTCCATTTTGCAACTAAAAAACCTGAGGCTCAGAGAGGTAAAACAACTAAAAACCACCATCACACAGGTAGCTAGCAAATGAGATATTCCAAAACCCACTCTCTTTCTGCTGACAGGGAGACTGTTTTTTAGGGGGTGGAATGGGTCCGCTAGGTAGAGAGGGCTCACGGACCCTAATACCCACCATCCTCTTGGCTGCTCTCCCCGCCCCCTCTTTCCTGTCCCTCTGATTTAACTTCTCTCCTCTGTGGCTGTACCTCAGAAACCTTCGTGGCCAGAGATGGAGACCGAGCCCACAGAGCAGGTGTGAGTGGGGGCAGGGGGGAGGGAGGATTACAGAGAGGGAGGGGAAGGAGAAGGGATGGGATTCCACACCTGGCGACAGGCCTCCTGGAGCCATTTGAGACCAGGGGCCCTCCAAATAAAGGGGGCTGGTGATGTGAGGCTGGGGCTGAAGGGAAGAGTGAGCTGAACGTAGTTGTCCAAGGTGCAACGGAAGACCTGAGCCCTGATTCTATATATATATATATATATATATATATATATATATATATATATATATATATATATATATTATTGATTTTTTAGAGAGGAAGGGAGAAGGATAGAGAGCCAGAAACATCAATGAGAAACATCCATCAGCTGCCTCTTGCACGCCCCCTACTGGGGATGTGCCCGCAACCAAGATACATGCCTTTGACCGGAATCGAACCTGGGACCCTTGAGTCCTCAGGCCTGACGCTCTATCCACCGAGCCAAACCGGTTTTGGCATGAGCCCCAATTCTTGAGACCCGCTTGTCGTGACTATGTCAGTGCACCCATACCGAGGTAGAGGTGGGTTGGGGGAGGGGAAAAGGGAAAGGAAACAAGAGTCTAGTCTGGCCACGGGGTCTGAGGCAAAGCCTGCGAGTGCGAGTTCTTCCAGGAGAGGGCGCTGCAAGCAGAACTGAAGCTCCAAGGTTTATCAATAATACAAACCCTTGGTCTATGAAGAGCCCAGATGCTTCTTCACATCCATTATCTTCTTCTTTCAAACAACCTTACTACACATTAGGCAGCTGAGATCCAGAAGGAGCAAGTGGCTTGCTCAAGGTCACCAGGAAGCTGGGTGCAGAGGCCAGAGGGGTGCCGGGGAAGCCAAAGCCTGTTTTGTGTGAGTGGGAAGACAAGGACTCCTCAAGTCTCTTTTCTCCTTTTTGATCTTCCCCAGGTCTCCTGGGGCGCGTATTCTGGCGACGATGAGGAGGCCTACTCAGCGGAGCCTCTGCCAGAGCTGTGCTACAAGGCGGATGTCCAGGCCTTCAGTCGAGCCTTCCAATCCAGCATCTCCCTGACGGTGGCCGCCCTGGGCCTGGCAGGCAACGGCCTGGTCCTGGCCACCCACCTGGCAGCCCGGAACGCGGCCCGCTCACCCACCTCCGCCCACCTGCTCCAGCTGGCCCTGGCAGACCTTCTGCTGGCCCTGACCCTGCCCTTCGCCGCAGCGGGGGCCCTGCACGGCTGGAGCCTGGGAAGTGCCACCTGCCGTGCCATCTCGGGCCTCTACTCGGCCTCCTTCCACGCAGGCTTCCTCTTCCTGGCCTGCATTAGCGCCGACCGCTACCTGGCCATCACGCGGGCCCTCCCGGCCCGGCCGAGGCCCTCGGGGCCGGGCCGGGCACATCTGGTCTCCGTCACCGTGTGGCTGCTGTCGCTGCTCCTGGCGCTGCCTGCTCTTCTTTTCAGCCAGGACGGGCAGCGGGAAGGGCAGCGGCGCTGCCGCCTGCTCTTCCCTGAGGGCCTCGCGCAGACGGTGAAGGGGGCGAGCGCGGTGGCGCAGGTGGCGCTGGGCTTCGCGCTGCCGCTGGGCGTCATGGCAGCCTGCTACGCGCTGCTGGGCCGCACGCTGCTGGCCGCCAGGGGGCCGGAGCGCCGGCGCGCGCTGCGCGTGGTGGTGGCCCTGGTGGCGGCCTTCGTGCTGCTGCAGCTGCCCTACAGCCTGGCGCTGCTGCTGGACACGGCCGACCTGCTGGCCGCGCGCGAGCGGAGCTGCCCAGCGAGTAAGCGCAAGGACCTGGCCCTGCTGGTCACCGGGGGCCTGGCCCTCGCGCGCTGCGGCCTCAACCCCGTGCTCTACGCCTTCCTGGGCCTGCGCTTCCGCCGGGACCTGCGGCGGCTGCTCCGGGCTGGCAGCGGGGCTGGGAGCGGCCGCCCAGGGCCTCGCCCCCGCGGCCCCCGCTGCCCCCGGCGGCCCCGCCTTTCTTCCTGCTCCGCTCCCACCGAGACGCACAGCGTTTCCCACCGGGACCACTAGGGCTGCGCATCCAGAGGAGGGGGTGACAAAGGAAATGGATCGGGGAGGTTTCTGGGGCGGGGGGGAGGGGGGATGGAGGTGGGAGGTAGGTGTGGGAACGCCGATAAAGGGGTGGGGACCTACAGGAATTGCTTCCGTACTTGGCCACATTAAATGGATAACATGGGAATGTGATGCAACCCGACGAATGTTACTATTTTTGAGTCGCTGGCTGGAAAGTGATTTGTAGCGGAGCCGAGCCCGGGTCCCTCACCGCCCGCCCGCCTCTCCCGCCCCGGGCCCGGGGCTCTAAGGGGGGAGGGCGCTGGGAGCCCGGTGGGGCCGGGGGCTGCTGAGCTGCTAACGCTCCGGGCCGACACCTCCTCCACCTTCGCCCGCTCCCCGCCGGCGGAGGTGAGGTGGGAAGGCTGCCAGCGAGCAGGGGCGGGGGTTCCTCTGGAGACGCCGCGGAGAAGAGCTTTCGAACAACCCGGGGTGCTCTCCAACAATGGCCGCCCCGGCCAGGACCGGGCTCCCGGCCTCCGAGTGTCCGGGCTGCGGCCGCCGGGGGCCGGGGGCGCCTGGGGGTGGTGCGGGGACAGGGACGGGGCAGAGATTCCCGTTTTGCGTGGGCTTTCAGATTAAGTGACCGTTTTAGAGTTTCTTCTGTAAAAATTCTGTGGTGGAAAGCGGGGGATGGGGGTGGGCAAAAAGTTGAGTCGAAGTTTTTCACCTTGGAAAAAGCAAGGAGGAAATCCCAATTTGCACATTTCCAGAGTCATTATCCTGGGGGAGGAGGAAGGGAGGGGACTGTGGTTCTCCAATGCACCGAGGCAGCCGGGGAGAACTTCCCTGCAGCGAGCCTGGGACCCGGACCGGGAAGAGAACTTAGGGTGGTGATGTCTCTATCCCCAGGGCACCTCGGGGCAGACCACGCTCCTCTCCGGCCAGGGCCAGGCCCGGTGACCTGCAGAGACAGGCGCACAGATGGCTTTGGTCTTTGTTTTACACCATCACGGCGGGCAGGATGGTGTCCAAGAGCGAGCGACTCCTCTCCGCAGTTTAATATCCGGTCAGCCAAGCCGCCCCGACCCCTCCGGCCAGCAGCCTGGGGACCGGGGACCTGGGGCAGGAAGGGCGTGGCTGGCGTGGCGGGGTGGTCTCCGGGTCCCCGCCCCGCTCGGACTCAGCCTTCCTGCCCAGAGCCTCCCTCCGGTGGCTGCTGAGATCCAACCACCGCCTCCAGGGCCATCAACCTCGGGAAGCAAAGCGCGGAAGTGGCGCCGACCCTCCACACGCCCCACACCCCAGCCCCAGGGGGGCCACCTGGAACCCTCCACCGGAGACCGCGGGGATCGCCGCTGAGTCAGCAACGCACGCGCGCGCCCGCAGAGGCCCCGGCCCCCCTTCCCCTTCCCCTTCCCCGCCCCGGCCGGCCCTGCCCCGCCGCTCAGCGCCTCGGTTAACCCTTCCTGCACGGAACCGCAGATGCACCGGGAGGCCTCCTCCCTATCCGAACACAACAGAACTCCCTGGGATCCCAGGCGCTCTCCCCACAGGGGCTCGCTGAGCTTTTGCACTCCGGAGTGGGGTCTATTTCCGGCCTCGCTCTGCACTTCCAAAGGTGACTCAAGTCGAGGAAACGGCCTCCATTCGGGGCGTCCTCCCCCTCACCCCCGCTCGTGGGCCGTGCCTGCGGCGGATCGCAGGGACCCCGAGACCACACAGGGATCAGAGGACAGCGGTCGGACCTTCCTCGGTGCCCTAGGCCCTCGGTTCCCCAGAGCTGCCCCTCCGGAGGGTTTGCACCGTGCAGGCTGGAGAGCCAAGGGTTAACACGAGAGCCTGGAGGCGGGCTCCCGTGACGTCACCAGCACTCGGGCCGACCTCAGAGACGGGGCCGGACTCCCCTCCGCTCTGCCCCCCGCTCCCCCCTTCCCCCCCTCGCCCCTCCCCACTGTCAACAAGCCAGGGGCACGTGACGCAGCCCGCGCCGCTCCGGGAGCCGGATTGGCGGCCGCGCCCGGCGCCAGGCTCCGGGATTGGGCAGCGGCGGCTGTGACGAGCGCCGGACCCTGCCCCGAACGGGAGGGAGGAGGGAGAGAAGGGGGGGCGGAGGGGAGGGGACTGGGGAGGCGGGTCCCGGCGCTGTGCTCGCGCCCCCAGCGCGCCAGTCCCCGGGCTGCAGGGAGCGCAGGGCGCGCGGCCCGGGCCCCGGCCACCGGACGCTCTACCGGACACGACCCTCCTCTGGCGCTTGGACAGCTGCCCACCGTGGACTCTGCACCGGACACTGCCCCCCGCAGGGCTGGACACCGCCACGGACACTACTTCCCAGCTCCGGACATTGCTCCATCTTTCCCCCTGGGTTCTGGACGCTTTTCCCCCTCCCCCTTCGGGGGCCCAGACACGGAGCCCCCCGCGGGCTCTAGCTAACAAGCCCTGGTCCCCGAGCGCCAGACACTGCCTCCGCCCCGTCCCCTTCTCCCTTCCCCTCCACCCGCCTCCTCTCTCCCCCGGTTCGGGTCGGAGCACCGCCAGGCTTAGGACCCCCTGCAGCTCGGCAGCCGGCTGCCGGCTCCCCCCTCCCCCGGCCGCTCGCCCGGATGCCTCTCCCCGGGGGACTGTGGTGGCTCCTCTGCTGCCGTCGAGGCTTCACTCTCCTGCACCGGGACTACGGGGACGGCGAGCTCAGCGGGGACGGAGACGAGGACGAGGACGAGGAGACCTTTGAACTGCGGACCCCGAGCCCAGCGGGCGGCGGGAGGGTAAGTCCTGGGGGTTTGAAACCTCGTCTCAACCCCTCTCTCTCCCTACCCGAGCCGTCACGCCGGGTCCCGCTCAGACTCCAGACCGGCTACTGCGGACGTGGGAGAGGCGTTTGCCTCGGGGTCGGAGTCCCGGGAGCAGCCCTGCCTGGAGGTGCCCGTGGGCCTCGCGCTGGGTGCTGTCCACCTGCTGGGGCCCCGAGGCGGGAGGCGTCACGCGTGGCCCGACCTGGCCCTGCCTCTCCCTGCCCCGCCGGGCCCGGTCCCAGCCCATCTCCTTCCGCCTCCGCCAGCGCCCAGGAATGTGGAGGGGCCGGCTGGGCGGCCCGGACGCCTGGGTCCTCTCCGCTCCGAGCTCCCGAGCGCGGGGCCTGGATGCTCTCTGGGAGCTCCCGCCTCAGGGACCTGGGCAAGGGGAGGCCGCCCCTTCGGGTTAGGGTCCGTGGCGGGGACCCCACGGAGAGGGAGCTGGGGGCCACCACCCTCCGAGGACCCGTCGTCGTTAACCTCAGGACAGAACTCGCGGCCCGCCCTGGTGAGCCTCCTTGGGAATCCGGAGGGGATGGGCCTGCGGAACACCCGGCTCCCAGGTTGTGTCCAACCTCCTCCTCATGGGGAAACTGAGGCACGGGGTGTGGGAGATCGCCTCCCCCTGTCCTCCCCTCTGTGATTCCCTCACAGACTGGCAACCAGCTTCCCAGGGCTATGGCCTGGGTCAGGCCCCCATCCCCCCGCTCAGGGGTCCCCAGCAGGCCCGGTGGCTCCGTGCCCGAGTGGGGCGGGCTGAGCCTCCCGCCAGGGCCGGCGCCAGCACCTGGCGGAGGCGGCGGTCGGATAAATATAGAGGGGGGGGGCGGGGAGGGAAACGGGACTGCGATTAGGGGGATTGGTCTGAGAGTGGCCAGCACCTGCCCTCCGTGGTGGGGTGGCCACGAGCCCCTTTCGGACTCCCCAGAAAGTGGGTGGGTCTTTGTGCCTCAGGAACACGCAGGACCCAGGCGTCCCCAAGCGTCTAGGCTGGGCAGGGTCGGCTCTGTGAATCAGGCCACTGCTTCCCTCACGCTCCACCTCCACCCCCCTCCCGGGAGCTTGGGGACAGGTGTCCCTGGCCCCCCTCCCCCACCTTCCCCTCTTGGCCTTAGCAGTCTTCTTGCCATGGCCTGGCTCCTGGATGGGTTTGTGGCCTCAGACCCAGGTCTACAGTGGAAGTTCTAAGGCGTTGGGGGGGGGGGGGTGCGTGTCCCGTTCTCAGCCTGGCCAGCCCTTCCTGGGCCCAGCAAAGGGACAGGGTCTCTGGTTACACTGAGTCTCTGTGGTGTCTGTGGAAGGCCTTAAAAGGCTCCTGGGGAAAACCCTAAGCCCTATGCTGAAGGGACCCTCTCCCCTTCATTCTCCTTCACTCGCCTCTGTGCCCACTTCCTGCCTGCCCACCCCCCCCCCCCAGCCAACCAGGGAAAAGGAGGGGAGAGTGACTGGGAACCTGCAGGAGCAAAAAGAGACCTCATCCTCCTCTCCCTTTCAAAGGTCGGGAAGCTAAGGCCCGAGGATTGAAGGGGACTTCGATGTCCCTCTCTCCCATCCCTGGTCAGTGAGTGCTGGGCTTGGTATTCGAACCCAGGTCTCCTGACTCCCCGTCCAGTGCTCTTTCTCCCCTCCCAAGCCCCTGATGGCATCTTTGAAGTGTAACCGACCCAGAGGAAGCTTTTTAAAAGCTCCAGCTGTGCTATAGAAACTAGCGGGAGGGGCGAGCCCAGCGGCCTTAGCCAGCTCCGTCACAATCAGGACCCCACGCCTGGATTCTTCAGTCCCCTGAGCAGCACCGTCCGGGGGCAGAAGCCTTGCGCATCCCAAGCGGAGGGCTCTGACCTTGAGCCTGTTTCCCCAGGGCCCCTTGGACGTGACGCTGACCCAGCCTGTGAGGAGCGGGCCGATCTCGGACAGGTGAGCGCCTCCTCCGCATCCCATGGTCGGGAGACCCCACCCGGTCCCCCCCAGGACCCCCATCCTCGCCGCCTTCCCTCTCGCGATTGTGCAATAAGGGAGAGTCCGTACGCCGGACGCTGTGGTTTGGCTGGGGTCCCGAGGGGGCGGTCCGGCTGGGGGCGCCGGGAGGAAGGGGGGGGGGGTCCGGGCTATTTTTGGTGAGAAGTCAGACCGGCCCAGCAGTTCCCACAGCCGGGGGGAGGGGTGCCCGGCTCGGGAGCAGGCACCCCTTTCTGTCGGGGGAACCCCTGTTGAGGAGTCCCCCTGGAGGCGGGGTGCAGGACCCGCAGCCTCTCCCAACCCTTCCCCCCTCCCTCCCCCCTGGCCCAGGCTGCAGAGCTGGGAGGAGACGCGGAGCCTCATCCCGGAGAAGGGGCCGCTGGAGGACGACGCGGATGTGGTGGTGAAAGGTGAGGACCCCCTTCCCCATGCGTTCTGGATGCCCCTCGGTCCGCACCCAGGCTCCTGGGGATAATGTCTTCGCCTGCTGGTGCCCTCCCCCCAGGCTGGTTGTACCGGGAGCCGCGCGGACGAGGGGCGCGGCCCTGGCTGCCCCCGCGCCGGGCCTGGTTCGTGCTCACCCGGGACTCCCTGGACCAGTTCAGCGGCAGCGGGCAGGGGGCGCGGCGCCTCGGGAGCCTGGTGCTCACCAGCCTGTGCTCAGTGACCGGCCCGGAGCGCAGGCCCAAGGAGACGGGTGAGACCTCGTGGGGATTCCCCTCCCTCCCTGGGTGGTAGCCCCGGCCGGCCCTGACGGCTCTCCGGGCCTCTCCTGCCCGCAGGTCTGTGGCTAGTGACCGTGTCTGGCCGGAAGCACAGCGTCCGGCTCTGCTCCCCGCGTCAGGCCGAGGCTGAGCGCTGGGGGGCGGCGCTGCGGGAAGTGATCGCCTCCAAGGCGCCGCTGGAGACCCCCACCCAGCTGCTGCTCAGGGACATCCAGGTGGGAGAGAGGGGGCTCCGTGGGGAAAGAGGAGGGTGGGGGGGCTTTCCGGGCTCCTGGGGAGCCCCCTTCTCCATCACTGTGCCCCTTTCCTTGGCCTCCAGGAGAGTGGCGCGGATCCAGAGGCCGTGGCCCTCATTTACCGGCGGAACCCTATTCTGAGGCACACCAGCGGGGCCCTGTACGCCCCACTTCTGCCCCTGCCCTATGGAGCCAGCGCCCCAGGTGAGTGGTGCCCGTGGCCCAGCCCCCTGGCTGGGGGATCTGAATGCCTCACCTGAGACCCAGGAGTCCTCAGGGGACCATCCAGCCCCTCCCCCCGCCCCCCCACACACACTTTTTAAAGAAGAAAGCTGAAACCAGAAGCTGAGCAGACTGAGAGCCAGGATGGCAGGGTGGGAAGCCATCACATACGAAAAAGGCCCCCTTCGAAATTTTTTAATCTTTTTTTTAATAGCAAAGGTGGAAATTTATTGAGAAACAAGCACCGACTCCCACGTAGGGAGGGAGAAAGAGTCCCCTGACCTTTTTTTTTTTTTATGATGACTGGTGTTCTTAAATGAGTTTCTACCCTGCTTTCTATTCTTTTATCACGCCCTTAAGACCATGCCATAATGTCTTTACAAATGGTGGGAGAATGTGCTCACTTCATCCCGCCGTTTCTCCCCGAAGGGGATTAGTGACTGGCCCAGGTCGTGAAGCTGCGGCTCGAGAGCCACAAGCGGCTCTTTGGCCCCTTGAGTGTGGCTCTTCCACAAAATACCACGGCCTGGGCGAGTCTATGTTGAAGAAGGAGCGTTAGAGGAAGTTTAGGTTTAAAAAAATGTGGCTCTCCAAAGACATTTCAATCGTTGTCCTGTTGATATTTGGCTCTGTGGACTGATGAGCTTGCCGACCACTGAGCTGGAGGAGTAAGGGGAGTTGGGAGAAGAACCCTGGCTTTCTGACTCCCAGTGCAGCCTGTTTTCTGGCCCATGGTGATGGCTCCCTGTGCCCAACTGCAGAGCCCATGTCCCTCAGTCTGTGCCTCTACCTCCCTAGCTGGAGTGCATCTTTAGCAGACGGGAAGAGCCCTGGGGGAGGGGTGGAGAGTTTGGCTCTGCGGGGACCACTGCTTTCCCTTCACTCTTCCTGTCGTTCGCACTCTCCCTTCCCTGCCACCCTCACACTCCCTCGACCTCCCCTGGCCCACGCTTTCCTCCCAGGGCTCAGCTCTGCGTCCCCTCTCCAAACCGGCCCTCCGCCCCCCGCCCTCCTGCAGGTCCGGGCTACGCGCCCCTGCGCGAGGAGGCGGTGCGGCTGTTCCTGGCGCTGCAGGCGCTGGAGGGGGCGCGGCGGCCCGGGCCCCTGATGCAGGGTGTGCTCCAGACCTGCCGGGACCTGCCCGCGCTGCGCGACGAGCTCTTCCTGCAGCTGGCTAAGCAGACCTCGGGCCCCGCGGGGCCCCCGGGGCTCCCGGCCGCCCGAGACCCCGCGGCCCTGCGCTACTGGCAGCTCCTCACCTGCATGAGCTGTACCTTCCGGCCTGGGGGCGCCGTGCGGGGGCACCTCCTGGGACACCTGGAGAGGTGAGAGGGCTGGGCCGGGGCAAGGCCAAGGCCGGGCGCTATGGAGCTGGGAGAGGGTGGCAGGCCTTTGGAAAGGGTTGGGCAGATGAAGAACTTAAACCCGGAGGAGGGGAGGGATTTATCCAAGGTGAGGGCCGCTGAGAATAGGTGCAGTGCCTTTCTGGGAATCACAAGATCGCATCTCCCTTGCAGGCGGAGGGATTGAAAAAAAAAAAAAAAAAAAAAGGTGCCCCTTTGGGCGGAGGAATAGTCAAAAGGGAGCTTTTCCTTGGGGCTGGTGCAGTCCAGCGCCGGGGCTTTTAGGTTGGAAAGCGGCTGGATTCCAGGCGGAAGAAGGACCTAGGAGACCTTGGGGAAGTGGGAGGGGCAGTTAGAGAGCCGCTAGGAGCCTTAGAAAACCCTTCAGCTCCTTACCAAGCGCCAGGGGTAGATGCCGAGCAGCCTGTCGCTCGCTGCCTTCTTGGAGCTTAGAGTTCGAGGGGAGGGCACCAACGAGATGAAATAAACTGTAAAGTAAGAATGTGAGAGGGAGGGGAGAAGGAAGGCCCTCTGAGCACCGACCTGAGGGTCCTCACCAACCCAGGACGGAGCAGGCGCTCCCGGACTCGGAGCTGGCGGAGTACGCGCGCTTCATCCGCCAGGCGCTGGGCCGGACGCGCGGCCGCGAGCTGGTGCCATCCCTGGCGGAGATCTCCGCGCTGAGCCGGCGGCAGGAGCTGCTGTGCACCGTGCACTGCCCGGGGGCGGGGGCCTGCCCGGTGGCCATAGACTCCCACACCACGGCGGCGGAGGTAAGGCCGGAGAGAGAGGCCCCCCGAAACTCCAGCCCTTCCTCCCAGCTTTCTGCGCGCAGCCCTCCCGGTGGGTGCGCGGGCCCCAGGTTTGCCCCGGGTCTGAGAGTCATCATCGGGATCAGGGGTGTGTGTGTGGCAGGACTGAGACTCGAAAGACCACCCCCCACACACACAATGGGATCAGCTCCCCCCCCCCCAGCAGTGCTGACAAGACCCCCGAGCGGTCTGACTCTCCCCTTCAGGTTGCTCGGGAGCTGGTGGGGCGGCTGGGCTTGGCCCGAAGTCGCAACGCTTTCGCGCTGTACGAGCAGCGAGGGGCCCAGGAGCGAGCCCTGGCCGGGGGGACTCTCATGGCCGACGTGCTCACCAGGTTTGAGAAGTAAATGTCCAGCCCCGGCCCCCCTCTCCGTTAGCCCATCTTCCTGCAAACCTAGGTCGGTCCCCAAGCGAACCATGAGCGCTTGTCGCCTGTCCTGCCCAGTAGAGAGAGTTTGCTGGTTCTGCTGGTTCTAAGACGGACCCCTGTCCGCCAGCGCCTTGCAGTGGAGTTTCAGATCTCAGCTCCGAGGTCCTCTCCGCTCTAGTCCCGCTCCCAAAGCCCCCCGCCCCCCCCAGCTTGGCCCCGTCCCGCCCAACCAACCAACCCTTGGAGGGTGGGGGCCCGCGGCCTCGCTCAGCCCCTCGATCTCCATCGCAGTTTAGCAGCGGAGGAAGCCGCGCCGGAGGACCCGCCCGACGCCGGCTGGAAACTGTGTCTGCGTCTCCACGGACCTCTGCGCCCTGAGGGGCTGGCCCCGGACGGCCACGAGCTGCCTTTCCTCTTTGAGCAGGTGAGGATGTTAGCATGGACGCAACCCCTCATCCCCCCCTCCCCTCCAGCCTGACCTCCCTTGTTGGGCCATCGCACGTCGGGCGTTGTGGCAACCCTGGGGGAGGCTGTCCTCGAACCCAGACCTCAGATTCCTCGCCCCAGGGTGTTGGCACAGTGGCCCCGCCTGATGCCGGTGCCTCCCGCAGGCTCACGCGCTGCTGCTGCGCGGCCAGCCGCCCCCGCCCGACGACACGCTGCGCGCCCTGGCGGCGCTGCGCCTGCAGAGCCTGCACCGCGACTTCTCCCCCAGGGCGCCCCCGCCGCGCCTGGACCGCCTGCTGCCGCCCCCCACCCCGCCCCCGCCGCGGGAGGACCCTCCCCGCCCCATCCCCAGGCCGCCCCCCTCCGCCGCCCTGCTGGCCGGGGCGATCTGGAGCTCCGGCCTGGCCAAGAGGCGAGCGGAGCGGGCCCGGCGCATCGGGGCCGGCCGCCCGGCGGGCAGCGCGGTCCGAGAGGGAGGAGGCAGCGCCGGCATGGCGGCCGTGCTGGGCAGCTGGAAGCGGCTCCAGGGCATGGGCCGAGCTGAGGCCATGGCGGCCTACCTGGCCCTGGCGGCGCAGTGTCCAGGGTTCGGCGCTGCTCGGTATGAAGTTCTGGAGCTGAGCACGGTGAGGGGGAGAAGGGAGAAGGGGACTCTGGTGGCCCAAGCCCCCACACCTTTGCCCCAGAGCCAGACGCCCCCACTGGGGGGTCCTTTCACTCCCTACCCCCAGCACAGCTGTCTGTCCCAGACCCTCCACACCCTGGGAGCGTTAACCCCTGGTCCACACATTCACTGTGGTTCATAGGGGGGCTGGGGATCCTCCTGCTCTCAGCCATCTCTTCCCACCAAAAGAGAGGGTCCTCTCTCTGCACCCTGACTCTGCCCGTCTGTCTCCAGGAGCCTGGTGGGGGTGCTCCCCAGAAGCTATGCCTGGGCCTGGGAGCCAAGGCCATGTCCCTCTCCCGACCGGGTGAGACGGAGCCTATCCACAGTGTCAGCTACGGTCACGTGGCCGCCTGCCAGCTAATGGGCCCACACACCCTGGCGCTGAGGGTGGGGGAGAGCCAGCTCCTCCTGCAGAGCCCCCAGGTGAGCAGGAAGGAGGGGTGCGGACTATTGAATAGAGTGATGAATGCTACAGAGGGAAGGGCCCTGTGACTGGAGGCGGCCGTGGCATTGTGTAGGATGGTCAGGAAAGGATACTCAAAGAAGGTGGCATCTAAACTAGCCATAGGAGCAGCGACCAGTTTGGCTCAGTGGATAGAACACCGTCCTGCGGACGGAAAGGTCCCAGGTTCGATTCCGGTCAAGGGCATGTACATTGGCTGTTGTGCAGGAGGCAGCTGGTCAATGTTTCTCTCTTGTCGATGTTTCTAGCTCTCTATCCCTCTCCCTTCCTCTCTGTAAAAAAATCAGTAACAGCCGAAGCCTGTTTGGCTCAGTGGATAGAGCGTCGGCCTGCGGACTGAAAGGTCCCGGGTTCAATTCTGGTCAAGGGCATGTACCCTGGTTGTGGACACATCCCTAGTAGGGGGTGTGCAAGAGGCAACTGATCGATGATTCTCTCTCATCGATGTTTCTAACTCTCTATCCTTCTCTCTTCCTCTCTGTAAAAAATCAATAAAATATATTTTTTTTAAATCAGTAACATATTTTAAATAAATAAATAAACTAGCCATAGGAAGTTCTACAGGAACAGCATTCCAGTTAGAGGGACAAGCAAGTGCAAAGGCCCTGAGATGAACATGAACTTAGCTGGTTAGAGGAGCTCAAGAAGGAAGTGTGACTGGCACATGGTGAGGGAGAGAGTGATGGGGAGGAAGAAAATCTTGTAGGGGCAGCTCATGGAAGGCTGTGGTTAGGAGCCTGGGTGGTGGAGGAGGAGACAGGAGAACCCAGTGGCTACTGGGGTTATATTCTGCCCTCTGCCCTTTCTTAGGTGGAAGAGATCATGCAGCTGGTGAATGCCTACTTGGCTAACCCCTCCCCTGAGAGGCCCTGCAGCAGTCCTCCTCCTTCATGCCAAGACCTGCCAGACATCTCCTCTCCCAGCCAGCACCCCGGCCTGGACGAGCCCCAGGGACACTCTGGCTGTTTGGGGCAGCTGCAGAAATGAGCCTGCCAAGAGGTCACGACCTCCCTTCCATCTCCAGCCTGGATCTGGACTGCTCTGAGATCTGAGGGAACCATGGACCCTTTTCGCCCTGCAGGGACAGGGCCTACCCCACACCAAAGGGCTGCAATGGGTGCAATTTTCTAGTTTGTTTCTTAATTTATTTGTAGAAGAGAAGCAAAAAAAAAAAAAAAAAAAAAAAAAAAATCCTTATTTACACAAACCCTTCCTGTGGGAGTTTGTCAGTGGACAAGTTGGAGCTCCAAGGCTCAGAGCTCCACCTCTGGGGACGCCCACACTCTGGGCTTTTACCAGCACTGAGGGAAGTCTGGATACCACAGGGCTCCACCCTCTGTGACTGCCTGGATTTAACCCTTTCGTGGCCAGTATGCTGCCACTGGGCACTGGGTGGGGCGGATAAGAGGGCAGTTGTGGAAGCTGGCAGTTACTCTCTCCTCGCCAATGAGTGCACAGAGGTGGCCTCCTGGTGTCCCGGAGGCCAGAGGGCGGTGAGTCATCAGGACTAGCACTGCCCAGTGCGTGAAAGGCCTGTTGCTTTGGGCCTGGAATGGAGAGAACCCTGGGGCAGGATTAGACCCAGGATCTTCTGTGGCACAGAAAGAGCTTGTCAGGACTCCTGAGATCTGTGGCTGCTTTATCAGATCAGATTGAACAGGGTTGATTTCCTGAGGATCTGATACCCTGGGGCACTGGGAAACTAGAGTCCCAGATTTCCTGTCCTACTATGGGCCATCTTTCCATAGTCCTTACAGCCTCATCCCTGAGTAAAGGAAGCTGGGGCAACAGCCTAGAAATAGGCTGTTCTAGGCAAAGGATGTTAACGGTAGCAGACACGCTAAGACCTGGACTAATGGTAAGAAGGTAGAGCAGGTAAAGGTCTCCCTAACCCACGTACCTGGGCATTGGGAGGGAACACGGAGGGCCCTTCCTCATCCCTATAGTGATAGGCCGAAACCTGATTATATTCACAACCAAGCTTTATTATTTTATTAGATGTAAACAAGCATATCAAGGGTTAGGGCATGGGAGAGGGAGCAGGGCTAGCTTCTGGGCCGGAGAGGAACCCTCAAAGGGTTGCTGGTGAAGGGAAGGTGGGTGAAGGGAAGGTGGGACAGAGGGACCGCCATGATGGGAACGGTGCTTACTCTCCAGGGGGCGGAGGGAGGAAGTCACTGCTCCTGGGTGCCCCAGGAGATGTAGTCTGGTTGCATAGCTGTATGGTACTCATCGATGAGCTCCTGCACAACCGCCCTGGATCTGTCCAGTTCATCGAAGTTCTCCTTGAAGATGTCCTCCTTCCGGAACTGCTCCAGGAAGGCCTCCCGCTTCCGCAGCTTGTCGTACTGCTGGCAGGAACTTTCAAACAGCTGGAAGAGGGAGATCTCCATGATGGGAGCCAGTGCAGGGTGGGGAGGTTGGAATGGATGGGGAGAGAATGACAAAGGGGCTAGTGGAACAGCGGCCAAAGACCAGGAGACTAGCCTCACCGAGGAGATGCTGGTGTGGTTGGCCATCATGAGCCCGCTGACCCGGTGGGCGGAGGGCAGGTAGGGAGACTTCCTGGACAGGGCCACCTGGATGCTGGCTGGGCCCCAGGGGATGAAGTTGGCCAGCTTCCGCTCCCGGATCCTCTGCAGGCTCTTGTGCACCTGGGGTGGGCACAGGGTGGTGGTGGTCGCCTCTCCTCTACCCCCGCAGGTCCCAGGGTGGAACGAAGGGGCCTCACCTACCTGAGTGGGATCCACCTCGCCCTGGATGATGTTGAGGATGGCGATGTAGCAGTGGTTGGTCTGCCGGTCCCGGCCAGTGGACACCATCACGTTCTTGGGCTGCAGCAGCCGCCTCATCACGTCCAGGACCGTGGTCTTCCTCACGCTGGCCACCTGAGGGGACAGTGGGCCACGGGGACCAGGCCAGCACTCAGGGCACAGTCCACAGATGCACGGACAGAGAAGAGGAGGCAACACATGTCCCCCACCAGACTCGGGGCAGTGCGGCCTCTTTGGGGACTGTCTTTAGGTTCAGGCCTCTGCTGAGCCTCTGCTGTGGGATCGGGAATCTTAGCCATCCTCAGCTCAGCAAACTCATGCCCCTGTGCAGGAGCATAAGGAGACCCCATACAGCCCAGACCCTGCAGGGAGCCAAAGGCAAGGGAGGGAGGAGAGCAAGTCAGCAAGAAAGTCTTCCAGTCTGTGCCAGCCCCTGAGCACAGCGCCTCCTGGGCAGCAGGGAAAGAGGAAGGTGGGTTAGAGGTTTCTGGGCTCCGGGCCAGTTGGGCCTGAGACAGCGAGGGCTGTTCTTACCGACTGGTCCGTGGTGAGGGGGGTGTAACCCGTCATGAGGAAGTGGAGCCGTGGTGTGGGAATGAGGGAGGCGATGAGGCCGATGAGGTCGTTGTTCATGTAGCCAGGGTAGCGCAGGGTGGTGGTGCTGGCTGACATGATGGTGGACACCTGGGGACAGGGATGCCAGGTCAGGGGCCTGGGCCTGGTTGGGGGGTGCTCCCTTCCCCAGACAAGGGTTCCAGGAGGAAGGGGTTCCAGTCCAAAGGAATCCAGAAGCAGCGGCTCACCAGCTGGTTGATCTGGGAGAAGGATGGGTTCTGGATGTGCAGGCGGTCTGTGGCGATCCGGTTCAGGGCGGTGTTGTCCAGCACCACCTGAGGGGGACAGAAGAGGGTCACGGCACCTTTTTGAGGAGAAAAGGGGCAGAGAAATAAGTGATTAGCTTATCCCCTCTCTAAAGTCCAAAACCAGGAAGTCAGTATGTTCTTTTAAAAGGAAATGTACTGTGTCTGGGGCATCCTGAGACACTTTCTACCACCCAGTGCAGTCACCCAATATCTGATTCCCACCATGTGCCATGCACTGAGCCTGGCTCTGCAGATACCAAGGCATGGTCTTCCCCCTCGCCCTGTCTACAGTCTAGTGGAGGGAGACTGACATTAAATATAAAACAACAGAAGAGTATAGTTACCGCCTAAAATATGCACAAAGGCACTTGACCTTGACTGAGTGGTCAGGATGGTTTGGCTAACAAAGTGACCTTTGTGCTGAAAATGTAAAGCATGAGTAGGCATTAAATAAGGGGGACAAAAGAGGGGGGTTGTAAGCAACTTGGGATCTGGTCCTTATTTCATAATTTGGGGTTCGAGGTACGGGTTTGCTGGCCGTCTGTTCTCTCAGCTGGGGCTCCGGAAGGGCAGGTGTGTGGGTCTCCCGGTTTGGGAGGCGAACCCCACCCCCGCTCCCTCCTCTTATGCTCACCACGCAGTCGGCGTTCTGGGTCAGCCTCTTGAGGGTGAGCAGTGAGTTGTAGGGCTGGACCACCACGTCGCTCATCTCGTCCTGGTTGGGAAACACGGAGTAGGTCTGCACCAGCTTCTTGGGGTACCTGAGAGTGAGGAAGAAGATAAGGGGAAGGTAGCACCATCCCTGCCTATCTCTGTCTTTTCTGGGGACAACAAGGGCCATTCCTTTCTTTCCAGTGCCTCCAAATTCTTCTGCAAAAGGGCGTGAGGGCAGAACTGAGTCTTAAGAGCCCAGGAGCCACAAAGGATAAGCCTCGCCCAGCCAGTATGGCTCAGTGATTGTCAACTCATGAACCAGAAGGTCACAGTTCAATTCCCTGTCAGGGCACACGCCCGGGTTTTGGGCTCTACAGGAGGCAGCCCAGCCATGATTCTCATCATTGGTGTTTCTGCCTCTTCCCCTCTCTGAAACCAATAAAAACATATAAAAGTAAAATCAATAAGCATATCCTCAAATGAGAATTAAGAAAAGAAAGAAAGAGGGAGGGGGAGGATAAGCCAAAAGCATCAAACTCTGTAGTTGCCCTCCTCTCCCCAGATAAACACCCCTCCCAGGCTCTGTTCCTACGTGGGACTCAAAGACTAGCTGCACGTTTTCCAGTCCAGGAGGAAAAAAGGGAATAAAAAAGAAGGATGTTGCCCAGGGAACCAGAGCTAATGCCCAAACCCAGGCTTTACCTGTCATTCAGCCGCTCCAGGAGGTAGGAGCCCAGGCCAGAGCCTGTCCCCCCAGCGATGGAGTGACACAGCACAAAGCCCTGCGTGTGAAGGACAGAAAGGCAGGGAGGAGACTTCAGGCTGGTCTCACTGCCCAGGCCCAGCACACTCATGTCTCCAGCCTTCCTCCGTGTCCATTCCGGCAGAGGCTCCCTGGGAAAGATGACTCGGACCCCAGAAGCTGGTGCATCCTGATTAGCATTTCCTTGAGGACAAGGACTTTGTTTACCTCAATAGCTCACATCAGATGCTCAGTAAATGAGTTTTGACTCTCATTGCCCCCATCCCAACACCTGTTCAGGCTGCCGCCTGACATTTCCCCAGCACTTTCCAGCCTTTTTTGTTTTTGTTCTTCAGTGGGGCAAAACCTCACCTCTAGGCTGTCACTTCCATCTGCTTCTCGATCTATGATGTCAAAAATATCTTCATGGATTTTCTCACCCTGCATATAGAGACACAGGTGGGGAGAGGGGGGGTTGTTTAGGATGAGGATTCTGGAGAGCATCTCTTTTCAGCACCAAAAATGCTATCTAGGGAGAGACCACTGCTGCCACCCTCTATCACAGCCTCAGCGGTGGCCCTCGACTCAGAAAAGCTACTTTGCAAATAATTTGCATAAACCTCTCCCAGGCTAGCCCTCTGGTCAGGGCATCCCTTTGTCTCCTTTTTATGTTAATTTCGTCTAATTAGATCCCCAGGCTGCTTGAGCCGGCCTTGCCTAAGGGAGGGAACACCAAGTGTTCCTGGGATGGCCGCCTGAATACCTGGGAGAATCCACTGGCCCAGTTGTTGCCGGCTCCTCCTCCGTGCTCTGACAGGTAGATGTTTTCTGGGTTGTAGAGCTTGGCGTAGGGGGAGTTGAGGATGGAGTGGATCACCCGGGGTTCCAGGTCCAGCAGCACAGCCCTGGGGATGTAGTGCTCATCGTCTGCCTGACAACAGGAGTCCAGGAGGGGGCCCACTCAGTAAAGGCCGGCCCAGTCCTCCGTCCTCCCATCTCTGGCTCCACCCTGCCCTCCCTCCGCAAGCCAGCCGCCCTGGCCCCTCTACCCGGCGGGATTTCCCAAGACCCTTGCCTTCAAGCCCCCTGGCCACCTCGCCGGAGCACCTGGTAGAAAAAGACGTCCTTGCGGTCCGTGCCCTCGGTGGCGAATTCCTCCACGATGCCCTCGGGGCTGATCCCATGCTCTGCGCACAGCTGTTTCCAGAACTCGAACCCAACTGGGGAATGGGGGGAGATGCTGGGTCCGCTAGAGTCATAGGCCTCAGAAGCCCAGGGCTGGGCACAGAGGCTGTCACACCCAGATGCTAGATCCCAAACCCCTGTCTGGGAGCCTTCACCGCCCAGGGCTGGATGCTTAGCTCTGGGTCCGGTGCCGGTTCATCATGCGCAGTAGGGCAGGCGGGTGTGGGGGGGTCACGGGAGGAGGGAAAGGACAACAGCAGGATGCCAAGCGCTGGAGTGGTACCCAAAGAGGCAGAACCGGGACCGGAGGGGCCCGGCGCGCGCTCGCTCACTCTGATTGCCGCACTGGCCCAGCTGCAGGGTGATGATCTCCCGGGGCATCGCTCTTCAGCCGCGGCCGCGCCAGCCCGGCCCGCAGGGAGCCGCGGCGCGGGGGGACGGAAGCCGGGCAGCCGGGCGCGCAGGACGCGGGGAGCGCGCGCTCCCTCCGCCTTTTGACGCGGGTGCGCGGTTTGCGCGTGTGCAGTGCAGGTCTCCACGTGGCCGGTGGGCCGGGATGCCCAACCTGGGCATCATTAACCCCGCAGCACCGCAGCTGGAATGCGGCACAGGCGCATGGTGAGGCCACGCCTCCGCCTGCCCACCCAGCCTCAGCTCTGCGCCTGCGCGGTGAGGCTAGCCAGGGCTGCAGGGATGCGCCTCTGGTGCAGGGCAGGGGGAGGATGGGGGGGAGGATGAGGGGGAGGAAGGGGGGGAGGGTGGGGGAGGAATGGGGGGGGAGGGTGGGGGAGGGATGGGCGGGGAGCCGAGGCCCAGGTGTGTGGGGTCAGCTGCGCTGCCTAGATAGGTCAGCGGCTCCGCTAGTTGGAGGGCCTAGATTCGAGGCAATGTTCTTTCATTTTTATTTTTATTTTTTTTATTGATTTTGTACAGAGAGGAAGGGAGATAGAGAGCTAGAAACATCGATGAGAGGGAGTCATCGATCAGCTGCCTCTTGAATACCCCCTACTAGGGATATGCCCGCAACCAAGGTACATGCCCTTGACCGGAATCGAACCCAGGACCTCTCAGTCCCCAAGCCGACGCTCTATCTGTTGAGCCAAACTGGTTTCAGCTCATTTTTATTTTTAAATTAAGTATACCTACCATATTTTCCGGCGTATAAGACGACTTTTGAAACGAAAAAAAGTCAACCGAAAATCGGGGGCAAAAGACCAAAATTGCACAAAAATTACCTGCAGATCTTGACGACAAAGTAAGTCTTTTCTTTGAAGTGGGGAGTAGTCTTATACAGCGAATATAGGCCTAAACCTATGTTTTAACTGTAAATTAGGGGGCCGTCTTATACGCCGGAAAATATGGGTAACAAGAAATGTGCCATTTTAATAATTTTAAATGTATA